CCTGTGAGCCCTTCTTGGGCTTCCCTGCCTGACAACTCTCTGCCCAAGTTTATTTTTTATTTGGGATGGTGGTGGTGTTCCTGTCACTTTGCAAGAACTGCACGACCTCTTCTCTTAGTTGTTTTCTTTCTTGAGCTTTTTTATAGTTAGGAACAAAATTGCAAGAAAGTTTGTGTGAAACACACTTATGGTATTAAAATTGGTTTCCTGAAAAAGCAACACTGTTCCCTTTTGGGACTCTCTCTTGCTTTTTCTCAAGCACAATTGTCAAAGAAAGTGGCCAGTAAACTCCAGAAATTCATTAGCGTGTGATCTGGGGGATAACCTCTCATTGGAATGGCTGCAAAAGCGCTTGTAAAATTCCTGGAGGACGGGGCTACGCACCTGCCTTGAGGAAGTCTTTCTGTTACTGTTAGTTTGTTCTGCCTCATCTCACCCCCCCCCCCCAAAAAAAAACCCCTTTCTCTGATTTTGGCTCTCCAAGTCTGTCAGGTATCCAAGCTGGGCGGAATGCAGGGGAGATACCATAATTAGGACACCAGTTAACATAGAAACAAGGCATAACCCAACTTTTATAAATAAGTAGCTTTTCAGGGGCTCCACTTCTGCATCCCCTCCATACTAGCCCGCCCTGAGCCTCCCTGATGGGGAGACATTGACTGTCTCCCCACCTGCACTTCTGGGGTCCCCTCTCAGACCACCCTGCAACTCTGTGTTGTCAACCTTTGATTGACAGTGCTCTCCCAGCCATCGCCCCAGAGTTCTCCCGTGCCTGGCTGCCTACTGTGCCTGGAGCAGCAGGCCTCCCAATGCCAAGGGAGCCGCCGTGAGCGGTATATGTGAGAAACGAAACGCTGGGCCTCGGCCTCATCCCGTAGGGCTGCGCTTGTGCTCTTGTCTAGCCGTCCTTTGCGCTGCTGCTCCTCCGTGTCTGTGCAATCGCCTAGGATGAAGCTTCTTATCACATAAACCTTCCCATTCTTCTAGTCCTCTAGATTGTGCCCTGAGGTGCCCAACCACAGCCCTCACATATGTGTTGAGTGTCCGCAATCCGTGGCTGCCATTGGAGGAAGCCCACCAGAGTCCCTCCAATGGGAGGCGCTCCTGCGGGAGGCTCCCTGGCTCCTCTGCTCTACCTGGGGCTGTCACGGATGGGTGCCAAGGTGGGCCTCCCTCTGAGGCCCCTGCCACCAGCAGGGCAGTACTACAGGCAGGCTGGAAAGCCTTACGGGCAGAGGGGGGGGGGGATCCTGGTCTGGCATTCCTGACAGATGCAGAGCTGAGGCTGCCCTTCTGGAGGTGCCTCTGGGGGGGGGGGCGCACCACGCAAGGGGCTCCTGGGGCTGCAGGAAAGACTGGCTGGGATGGTCGCTGAATTCGGCCTCGTTTGGGCACAGCGTGTGGGTGTCTGCTGAGCCGCCCTCTGTGCTCCTGCAGGAGCTGCTGCACCTGTGTCCCCCTGAGGATAGTCTGGATAGGGGAGGGGGGGCTTTTGCCAGAGGGACTTGCCCCTCCCTCTGGGGCCCCCATGCAGGAAGGGCAGGGAAGGGGGCTGGTCTGTTGGGACTGCGGGCCAAAGAGCAGAGGCAGCGAATCCTTCTCCCCCTGGAAACAGCAGTGGGATCCCTGGAGGGTCAGGCGTTGCCGTGAGGGGCCCGAGCTCCTCCTCGTTCTGGTGGGGCCAAAACAAATGGGGGGCGGGGGGGGTTGATCAGCAGCCTGTCCTCTTCAGGCCTGAATTGTACCTTGCAGAGGGGGAGGGGATGCGCTGGACAGGCGGTTCCCATGGAAACCTCTGCTCTCCCTTAAGCCCCGGTGCCCTCCGGCTGGCCTTGGGGCTCTCGGGCAGGGCTGGCGGGCGGAAGATGCCAAGGCTCTGCAAAGGGGGTGCAGAATCAGCTCAGACGGGCCCCCCAGTGCCCCCAGCAGGCCCAGAACTGCAGGATCCTGCCCCGCCTGTGCTTTGCTTCCTCCCACACCTGGTCTAGGAGCGTCGGGTTCCCGGCCTGCTTGCTGGCTCGCTCTGTGCCCATCCCTCCTGCGTGGAAGCCACTGACTCTGCCGTGTTTTCCCTCCTCCAGTACCAGGTGGGGCAGCTGTACTCCGTGGCCGAGGCCAGCAAGAACGAAACCGGCGGGGGCGAAGGGGTGGAAGTGCTGGTGAACGAGCCCTACGAGCGAGACGGGGAGCGGGGGCAATACACGCACAAGATATACCACCTGCAGAGGTAGGTGGCCTGGGAGGATCCCCCCCCCCCCGTCCAGGAAAAGGTGCCTGCCTGTTGGGGAGGGGCTGGGGGAAAAAACCCCTCTGCTTCCAGAAGCCTGGCTTAGCCTTGAACCCCTAAGCGCCACAGTCGCCGGCAGCAGGAAGAAGAGTGGGCGGAGCTCCTGCCGGGGGGGCCGCGCCCTGACCCTTCCTTTCCCCTGCAGCAAAGTCCCTCCCTTCGTCAGGATGCTGGCCCCCGAGGGGGCCCTGGACATTCACGAGAAGGCCTGGAACGCCTACCCTTTCTGCCGGACCGGTGAGTTCTGCCAGGGCAGCTGCCTTGCTGGGCGTTGGGGGGCTTTTCCGGGGGGCTTGGGGATGCCAGGCCCCCTTCTCCTTCGGTGGGACCCGTGTTAGGGAGGTGCCCCAGGCGGGTCTGCCCGATGCTCTGAGCTGCTTCAGAGAATTTCCACGGCTCAGCGGCTCCTCTGCCCACTCGGGGGGGGAGAAAACCTCCGCCAGGGGAACGGCACCACTTCAGGGGGGAGCCTGGCCGTTCCCTGCCCCTCCCCGGAGCAGCAGCCGGCCTCTGTCCCCCTGGGCAGCCCAGAAGCAGCTCCTGCAGAAGCCCCTCAGCTCAGCCCTTCTGAGCCGGTGGCCCCACTGCCCCAGAGACCCTTCCCTGCTGTTGGGGCTGGGCCCTGGCCTCTCCTCCTCCTCCTCCTCCTCCTCCTCCTCCTCCTCCTCTGCGCGGCCTGGCTTCCTTGGGCTGCTTGAGGTCCCGCAGTCTGGACAGTGGGAGCCGGGTCTTGGGCGCAGGCCGAGTCTGGGAGGGCTGACCACCTGGATTAGCAAACTACAGGCCACCTTCCAGCAGGAGCTGCTGCTGCTGCAGGGGATGGAGGCTGTGTCCAGGGCTGCTTGGGAGCCCTGCTGCTCACTGGACGTTTGGCCTCCGGCCCTGCTTTGCGGGATATGCTCGGCCTTTGAGAGCTCCAGGCTGCCTGCACCTCCTGGGAGGCCCCTACGTGGCTGCTGTGTCTGAGCCCTGAAGGGGGTGGTGGTGTTGCTGCTACTACGACTGGGGTCCTCTCCTGCGAGAAGCAGGACCTGCCGCCTTCCCCTCATTAATCATGGATCCTGGCGCCAGGGCATCCAGTTACTGCCCAGCGCAGTCCTGGGTTGGGTTACCTGGGTTGAGTTACCCAGGAGTTAGGAAGGAGGGAGGGAGGGAGGGAGGGAGGGCCAGGGCTGTGGGGAGGCTTTTCCCCAGAGTGTGTGTGTGTGGGGGGGGGGACTGCTTACCTGCT